CAGCTATTCCTGTGGTCAAAGAATCAAAAGACCCTTCATCTTTTCTTTTTAAAAATCTCAACAATCTGCTCAAAACGTCAGGCAGATTCAAATGGTATGAAATACGTGCAAAAAAAAATTCCAGGCACTGTTTTAGGGTCTTGCATTAGCTGGATCCTAAACTTGGTTCTTTAAATCTGCAATTACATGCCTTAAATCTAAACTCTTTAAACAAGCAAAAAGGGAGAGTTCTGAAGTAAAGAGATTCAAGTATCAACCCTGCTCCCAAAATTGTACATACGAATCCTCATATCCTCAGTTCTGTTTGGAGCATCCGTCTGGGAGCTCCAGCAGTGGGGCTCAGCATAAAGGGCTTGCTTGATCGCTGCGCCCTCCCACTGCCCGTCACTGAACTACACACACTACGATAAAACACCGGCTGCGGGGCTAAATCCCTCAACCAGCTTTCCAAATCTGAAGAGACAACAGCATCAGGGACGTGGGGTAGCCAGGCTCAAGCCTGAGCCAAGCAGAGGCAGCCACGTACTGGGTAATACGTTTCTGGAGAGCGACTAAAAAGAGTGCCGTGCCTCCTGCAGTAGGAGAATTTTGTAACAAAACCCAAACCGACCTCCCACCTACCAAGGACGTTGTCTTAGGGACCCCAGGAGAAAGCACAGCCTCAGCTCTCAGAGAAGACTTGTGACCAAAAAAAAAAGAGATCAGGCACTTGGCAGCCATAGGCAGTCATGAGTGAGAAACTGAACAAAGAAACCCAAACCCAGTCTTAATGGTTATAAAGTGTATTCTCTGGGGTTGCATTACGGACTCTCAAACAAAGCTGGCAGAGGACGTTCCAGATGGATAAGAAATGTATTCATTCGTGTACGGAACAATCCGTGTCACGTTCCACCCTCATAAAAAACCAGCTGAATAATCTACAATGAACTGAATGTAACAGCGCCTACATCATGAAAGAGTGAGGAGTCAGCATGGAAAGTTAAATGTATAAACAGCGAAACATTCAAGCCTGTTACATAAGTGCAGTTATCAGGAGGGTAGTTGATGTAATGCTATGGGATTCTGTGCTTAATCTTTTGTTTATTCTCTTTCCATGTAAGATTTTTTAAATCTCCTTCTGGCTTTCACTGCTCATGGGTAACAAAGACTCCACCATTTACCCCCTTCATACTAAAGTCTCACAGTTAAACAGCACTTTACAGTTAAAGCCTCCCACTGCCTACCCATAAAGTGCAGGTGGTGTTTCTTTAAAGTAAACTGGTTTACCTCAATACGTTAATTTAAATTATGGGGCACACGTTCCGCCAAAATGAAGGTGTGTTCCTGGATTCTGAAGTTTACTGAAGAAAACAGCAGTGCTGCTTCATTAGAGCTCATCTTCCACTGAGAAGGGTTGAACTGTCTCACCACCCGCTATCAAATGCCAAAAATAGATCCACAGAGAAAAACAGGTTTCAAAAACCCCAGCGTTACCGAAATTCTTGAATGCAGACTAAATGAGGTGGTAGTGACTGTGAGAAACACTCGTGATACTGCAAGGGTTTTCTGTTGCTAAGAGTTTCACATGGAGGAGTTGGCTGAAAAAACTCAATTCCGCTGTTCAAAACCAGGTGTTGGAAGCAAACGCACTACAGCCAAAAGAACCCACGGCATTTCGAATCATACCATTTCCCTCCAGCTAAACAAGACAGCACAATATTAGATTAATAGAGAATGAAAACTGATTATTAACCAGTATTCCCATTGCATCTCTTCCCAAAATCACGTAAACCAAGTTATACTGTTTGCACCTTAGCTTTAAACGTAACCAAACTGCCAACTGCACCCGTCTGAATTAAAGTCCTGCTACTTGTACGTCTTTCTAAAGCAGCCAGACCTCTGCACGCAGAGGAACACCAGACTGAGCACAACCCAAGGGTGACAGACCCCCGACACGTTAGGATGTTTACAGGGAGCGAACAGTCAGCCACGGATCAGAACAACACCGTTGTGAACCACGGGGGCTGCCCGGTCCAAGTCAGGCTGCTCTAACGTCTGCACATTCAGGCGGACAAAATTAAGGGCACAGGTATCGTACAATACACAACAGAGGTAGGTCAGCAAGTGGTAGACTGCATATTCCCGTTCTGACTGCGGGGTGGTCTTCTGAACGCTCCCGGGGAGCGCATCTTCCCTGTACTCAAAGAAAAAGCGTTAAAATGAAGTCTGGAGATGACTAATACTGGTAGCCAACAACACTGCCTTCGAAACACGGAGGAGATTCCTCCCGATGGCGGATTTCTGTTTACCATGTCCTATCTTCAGTTCTGGGTAACGCGCGTCTTGAGCTGCATCCAGAAAATCTAGATTCCCGGCATAAGGTCTGGCGTTGGTCTGTACTGGGAGAGTAATTTTGAGGTGTTTTTTCTCTTATTTCCAAGGAAGAATTTTTCAGCTCGCAGTTTGCAGAACTACTTGCTGCTGATGTGTGCAAAGCCGATGGTCGTAAGGTGGTAGGTTCTCTGGTTCTTCACAGAATAAGAGAGTTCATTGCTATCAATTCTGTCCAACACATCCTGTAGGATTCATATTAAACGACGCCTGCTACTTCTATAATTCCCTTTAAAGCAGCTGCTGTCTGAATCCTACTTGAAAAATAAGATCAAACACGTCCCACCTTGTAAGACACAGTGCAAGAAAAGTTGGGGAGATGCTGCTCTAAGGTTTGTAGAAAGAAAATCAGCATGTCATACAAGTGATATAAATAAAAAGCAATTTAACAGACATTTAACACATTACATCAGTATGGATGTACGTCTTTCCAGGCACTAGAAAAGGCAGTCTGAATCTCAGTGACATGCAGATAAAACTGGCTTGCCGTTTTCAGTATTACTCACAAGATCAGTAAGGCAGTGAAACCAAAGCACCCATAATTTTCAGCTATTTATGCTTAGGAGGATACACATGTAATTACATTCTTCAGGGTCTAACATGACCAGAAAGAAAGCTGCTGGAAGGGTGGTAGAGGTGTGCATGGTTTTGGTCATTTGGAATGAAGGAAGAAGCCAATTTGCTTTTTTTTTTTTTTTTTAAAGATAAAAACACCAGTGACAAATGATATGTGAATGAAAAGCTAACAGCAGCATAAAATTCAAACAAGAGCTTTTCCAACTTCTTTTTTTTTTTTAAATCCTGACACTTTAAATCCAGAAGATCTCAAAAGAAACACATACACTTTCCTAGTTGCAAATGTGTAGAAGAATCAACAAATTTCTTTAAAATTTACCACTGTAGAGACGCCTTATCAAGAAGAAAGTGGCCTTTCAGCACACTCTGGCTCCTGCAATTACAGGGAAACCAAACAAGCCCCCAGCTCCTCCAGTAACAAAACTTAAGGCCACTAAAATAAAGGTTTTGTTCGTTTCCTTAAAAATAATACCACACCTAGCTGATGTCACAAGTGACAGTTGACAGATCTCATCGCTGCTCCTGTTATGGGACTCCTTCCCTAACTTAGGAGAACATGTAAACATACTAGTAAGAAAATGGGATACAGCGTACAGAAGCATGCTTGAGAGAGCCTGGAGGTGAATAGGCAGGCACTTATTTTTAAGCTACATTTTTAAAACAGTTCTCAAATCTCTTTGCCAAAAAATATGCCTTCTGGATAATTAAAGACACTCGATCCAAGCCAGCACTGTCCTACCTCTGTGCTAGTTACTCCAACATCGCTCAGTCTGAAGGGCACTCGAATTTCCCAACGCAGATGCTGATCTTGCCTATAGAACTGGAGCCTACTGACAACAAATTCGTTCTAAAATTATTGTGCAGGAGTTTGTAGCGGTTTACAGGTTGAAATGCACTGCTATCCGCATGTGCTTAAACCTCACTGAAGTCACTCAACGTTAAGTACCTTTTTCTAGCCCCAAGTTTAGGTCTATTTGATCCCAAGAGTCCAGGATCAGTCAAACAACAAAAGCCACAATTTTATTTGGAGATTCACATCAGTAGGAGCGCTACTGACGGGCACAGAAGATGCAGTAAGCTTCAAATAGAAAAGAAAAAAAAGACATAAAAGGGAGGAGACCATTTTAGTCAGTGCTGATTGTACAATAGCCAGGACTTTGTGATCTGGGAGACAGCTTGATAGCTACACCACCGTGCCTTGCGGCTGGGGGCACGTTTTGAAAATGAATACAGGATGGGATTTCCAATCAGTCTGAGCATTTCCTGGTTTTCCTTCATGGCAAGAAGGATAAATCCCTCCGAGCATCAAAAGCAGACAAAAATTGCATAGTATGGCAGCCGGGAGGCCCAGGGACAGACTCTGTTAGTCGCCCCAAGATCTGAAGAGTCAAAACCACAGCCTCCAATATGAGGTATATTTTGAAACACTGTTAGTTTAATGTTTTCTTTATGCTTCCTTATTAACTTCCATCAGCTGGGTAGATAAAACTTGCAGAAACCAGAGGGTTTGTGTCCCCCCCCATTAATCCCCAAAGTTTGGTTTTAAAAAGCTGGTCAACTTTCCACAGAGCAACCGTGTGGCGGACAGATTAAAAGCAAGCAAAGTGCTGCCAACTGTATTTTGGGGTATCCTCAACATCAATCTTGTTGTTTACTCTTTCTTCAATATTTCTGAATAAGAAGATGCTTCTGAAAGTCAGACCAATATTTAAGACTCGTAAAATAATGGGACAGAGATGAATTCAAAGCTGAACTAGCACACACTTAAGGTATTTGTCAACCTGTAGTGTAAATGGGACATGGGGAGTAAAAAGTAGGGATAGAAAAGGGAGGCATGTAAATAATAAGTATAAAAAAATTAAAAAGTGCTTCTTGTGTTTATACAGTCACCCTGCGGTCTCCTGATGGATCACTGGCCAAACAAACTAGGAATTCACTTTCCACACACAAACAAGAACTCCTATAATGCTTCAGCATCTTAAGTGTCTTCTGCCAGTCACACCCTAGAACATCCTCCACGATGCACCTCCGTTGGACTAAAGAGAGAATGGAAGCTTGGTACAAAACGAACTAAATGGCACAGGTATCCCAAGCGTTTTGCTTCAAATAAAAATTGCAAAGGAGGCTGTGGAAAAGCAAGATAGAATAAAGCCCGAAATCAATCGTTACGTACTTTGTTAATTGTATAAAAGTGCAAGATTAAAGTAGTTCAGGTTAAGCATTCAGTTCACTATAGGCCACACAGACGCTTAGCTTGGCCATCGATGGCCTGGTTTTGTCATTCAGTTACTAACATTAGTTTAAACCACAGAAAGAACAACTGAATGAAAAACATAGGCAATCCACTTCAAAAACGGTTAGTTTTCTGTGACCAGCACGAAATATTAGTATCAACAGCTATACAGTATATACATAAAAATATTGTGTCTTATTCTTTAACAACTCAGAATAAAGCTGTACTAAACGTTATTTCCCTTAGTGTGTCAACTCTCTGCTCTGTTCCGGCCGGCCTAGTCACACAGAGAAGTCCTTTCATAGCAACGGTACTTGAATTGACCCATAACTTTTGACACTTCAGCCATAGTCACCGTTGAATCGCTTTATTCAGCCAGGCTAGGTGATTGCCATGTGACTGCCTAGGTGCCAGTCAAAGCTTCTTGGGTGGCTCCACAAGGAGAACAGGCCATATTCCAAAAATAAACTGTTAAAAAGAGAAATAGGAAGAGGGGAAAAATTTCCTGGAATATTACGTGTCTTAGAACAGAAACCAAACACTGTTAATCATCATTTCAACTGCATTTCCTGGGAGGTACGCAGAAATCAAAGCTAGCACCCTAACGGGCATAGTCAGTGAGCCCCAATGCAAGTTCAAAGCACAAGACATCTGAATGTTGCAGTGCATTGGACACAAAATGGGACACAAAATATTGCTGCCTTACCTTCACCTTTGGCCTGTGTTTCAGGAAAAGTGTCCTTGTGTATAAACTGAGGAAAAGGAGAAGAGCGTGCTTAAAAAATTTCACGTATAAGACAGCATAGGAAAGAATAATGACGTAGTAATCCCAGTTTTATTTTCCAACTAGAAAAGAATTGCTACTGTGATTGCACAGCTACCTATTCTGCCTAGATTTATGCAAAATAGGGGACGTTGGCCTACAGTCAATACCTCTATACTAGACTATCATTAACAAACTAATCTACCCTATCACCTACGTGGGGAGAAAGAGAGAAACCCAGAGAATTAAATTCTCTCTCCGCTACGGAAAAGACTAAACAGGGACTAGAGCGTGCCATTTGGAAGGATGAAATCAAATCAGTGTACCACAAAATGTATCAGATGTTAAGGGAGGGTGAGGAAGCCGCATAGCTCGATTCTGTATCTCATTGTTGTTCTTACACACACTCTCCCCTCTGTAGGTGTTCTACTGTGCGTGACCTCACTTTTTTTAAGCGGACAGAGGTGATGCCAGTGTGTGGCTGAGAAAATACTTGGGAAACTACTGCAGGGAAAGCACGTGGTTCGTTGGGGTAAGACAGACAGATCAGGCATCTGCACATTCCCCAAGGGCTAAAGGATGCAAACCCAAATTATTTTCTCTGTGCAGCACGCTGGAAAAACCTTGCCTATGCTACCCAAACTGCCTGCATCAGCTTGCTTTCTGTAAGGAATGTTCTTCAAAAGACCATTGCAAGCCGTTTAGGGCAGCAGACAACGTGTCAGCCAAAAGGGAGCAGCTGACTTCCACACCCCATGACATGTTTTATATATGCTCAGAGAGGTACATAGAGATACACATGGATATATGTACATATAGGTACATATAAAAAAGCCATCAGAATAGCTACTGGAAATGAACTTATTATGTCAGATGTGGAAAAACTGATATGTAACCCAGTTTTCTCAGCTACATAGAATGTACCTGTTAAAGAGACATTCTCTTATGGTTAAGTGGTAAAACATTATTTCATCACATAATGAACTACAGAAATTCTTCCAGCTCCAGCTTAAAATCTGCTTTTGTTCCTGGTTCCACTAGATGGTGTTATAGAGCAAAAACAGAGACAAAAACCTGCCGGCTGCAGACCCGCTAACTTAGGTTCTCCTTCTAAACCTAATATCCTGCGCTTCTGGGAACAGCTCTGCTCCAAGCACTTCAGCCATCACCCTTCTGCTCTACAGCATGATACCTGCTAGTTTTCAGGAGAGGCAGAGCCTATCAAAAAGATTAGTTATGCTTCTAAAATTAAACATGTACTTCAGGATTGCTGCTCAAGAACAGAAAGGTTACGTTTTGAAACGAATACACCGCCAAATAGGTTTGCAGTTTAACCGCTACAGAGCTCCCACTTCTGAACTGCATTCTCCTGAAGAACCACGACTATTAAGAGATCAATGATTACATTTTGGAGAATAGAAATTTACAGAGGTTTTAGACCAGTTGCAAAGAGGAAAGAAAAACCCCCACCAGTTTAGTAAGAAGTAAATTTCCGGCTCTTCTGTCCGATACAGCATTGTGAAGTAAATCTGAACCTGGGAAAGCTCCTAAGACCGGTTTTATGAACCTATAGTTTAGAAAACATTTCCTACCTTAGCAGGATATGAAGGTACGAGCCCAGGCCTGTGAGAATATGCCACCATGCATGAAACTGTGTCACAGCTCCCACCACAGGAGGCATCTTCGCCCGTAGTGATCTGTAAGAAAGAAACGCCATGCAATGTTTTGGGTGGGTTTTTTTCAAGCTAAGCAATTTCAAATCACAGTGCTTGATTGCCACGCCACACATCACTGTTTCTGTATCTCAGGAATGTGCTTCATGAATGAGGTTTCACGCCGTCAGGCTTTCAGCAGGTGAGGAACAGCAGTTACATCTTATACTGCCAGTGTAGAAAGATACCAGCAAACTGGCTTTCTTACACACTTAAAGAAAGCGCACACTTCCTCATACAATGAGTGACCAGTTACTTCTGGACTCAAATCTCAGGAAATAATAGCATCCCCCAGTCCCAAATGATCATTCTGCTCCCCAAAACCCTGTGAACTACTGTCTGTAGGATGAAATGCTGAGTCTGAGAGAGAGGAAATAGGATCCATCAGACATCACCACTTTACAGCCGGCACTTGCACCACCTATTCTCCAGATCCATGGAAGCTTAGTTTGTCTTTCTCTGTAGTGCTCTGAAACACGGACAATATCAGTGTTTAGTGAGGAAGCAATGAAAGTAGAGGGTCTGAAATACTCTATCAATATGCTTTGTATTTTGCACAGCTACGAGGTGAGCTATTTGGGAAGAGGATGGAGATAAGGGAAAGAAAGGGAAGGAACTACATTGCCCTGATTTCTCCTGCTCACTAGGCTTCTGCAGGTAACGCCTATTTCGGTTGACGGTGAAGCAAATGTTTGCATCTGCCTGTCTTCTTTTTTGACTTTCATTTCACATTCAGGCAAAACAAAAACCGGAAAACAATGATTGCAGGTGTTAAGGAAGGAAAATCTGCAGCTTCTGGAATATTTATTTAATGCTTGATGTTGCAGTGTTCAGTCCCCCTGACGAAACGCTAATCCCTGAGCTACTGCTTAAGTTTCCAGAGCTGCTCAGTGACAAATATGAACACAGAGCTTTGATTCAGTCAGCCTGGGAAACGACATAGCGGAACATACAGAGCGCACCCCGGCACAGCCTCCGAGCCTCTGCACGGCAGAAAAATCTCAAAGCTCAAATTCGAAACTACATGGATCCAACCAGGGAAGCTGAGTGCTATAGATGGTTTTTTAAGTGCTTTTTGTTGTTGGGTTTTTTTTATTTTAAACAAGCTGCAGACTTAATGCAAACTGGAAAACCAAAGCCTGAACCAAAATACAATTTTGAACATTAAAACAAAAAAGAGCAGGTAGGTGGATGACTCACAAGTCAGGCCTTCAGAGAACAAAAAATTGCAAGGAACTGGAATATATTTTCTCCAAAGGCTTCAGTTACAATACCATCTGAAGAAATTCAAGGCTCTGCAGACATCTGATTAAAGCTAGTAAACAAGTGTATGCATTTTTTTCCAGCACCATAACGGAACAAGCACCACATGAAGTATGCTATCTTTTTTTTTTTCCCCTTTACAAAATAAGGGTGGGGAAAAAAGTACTTAGTCTAGGAACGAGCTCAAAAGCCCCACGGACCTGCAGCACTCAGCAGGCTTGGTGAACTGGGGGTTATGATCTCACCGGGGATGTGATGCAGCTGCAAAAATCAACCCTGATGCCAATAGTTGCAAAGTCACTGTCTACCCACCCACCTGTGTTGGCAAATAACTTTTCTACCCCATCTGTATCAAGCATGTTTTAGGGCTGAGGCACCACGTATTCTTTCAGTATACTTCTATTTTTTAAAAAAAGTTTCAAGAAAACTCTGTTGGAGTTAACTTTTAGTTGGCCTAACCGAATGCAGGGACTACAGAGCCAAAAGGGACAGCTGGGAAACACTAGACTCCTTTACAGCACACTGTGCTCTGATCCTGACAAAGCCACCTGCTAGGAGAACTCTGTATACGACAGATTCAGCGGCATAAGTGCATCAGACAGTCAAGAATGGATTTTGGGATGCTGGCATCAATCTTTCCATCTATTCCAGCTTGTGATGGAGCACAAGCATCACAAGGAAGCCAAGGAAAGGTGCCATGATGCAGCTGTCCAGTCCCAGAGGAACACCTATTAAGAGGACCACCTGCTGGACTGGTGTTCCTTCTGGCACAGACAGGGTATCTAGCCATATGATGAGAGGGTGTTTTCCTACAAGCTTTGCCTGGAAGCCTTTTTTACCCCATTTGGCAACACATTAAACAGAGAGGAAGTCTTTCCTGGCCGCCTCTACAAGTGCTAAGCCAGAAGACTTCAGGCTAATAATGACAGCCAAGCACGGGGTATTGGCTCACAGCTACTGTTCTTTCTGAGACACTCAAGCAGCTGTTGTTTCTTGGTGACAGATACATTGCAATAGAGATTTCTTTAACCTGCAGAACTACTGCTTTTGACATTTTCCTGGGAAATGGCAAGAGCAGAAACAAACAAACAAACAAAAGGCAGGATGAAAAAAACCTCATTCAGATGAAATCAAGTGTGAATATCAGGCTTTAGTAAGCCACAGATCCTCAAAATTACTCCAGTGACATTACTTTCTCTCAATTTAAACTGAAGTTAAAGAGAAATATCAACTGTTTGAAAAAATAAATCTACTCATGGATAAAAAAACGTTAAAAAAAAACCCTATTGAGTCCTGAACCTAGTCATGAGCAAACTGGATAAAACCCTTGTGAACGTTTCGTAGGCAACATACCATACATACCATGAGATGGACTGAATATACACCACAGAAAAACAAAGCTTTATGCTGAAAGACTATTAAGAACTACCCAGGCAAAATGAAAGAACTCACCTCAATCTATCGCAGAAAATGTTGTCCACATTCCAGAGAAAAAATCCCATTAAAAATACAGTTAAAGATGTATAGCCTAGACCTCTAAGCCATGGGTATACCCTAGGGAGAGAGAGAAATAACGCAAAGTTTAGTTCAAGATTCCTCAAAGGCAGCTTGTAACATACATAAATACTATTACACACAAATAAACAGCTGCTTTTTTTTTTTTTTTTTTTCCCCAAAAGGAAAAATATCAACTTCAAATCTCATCTATTTAAGTATTGTATTTTACCTCCTCCCCTCTCTCCTAAATTCACAGTCTCCGAGACTGGTCTTTTACATGTTTCACTTCTCTATTTTTACTGTTCCCCTAAATACTGGGAAACCTGAGGATGGCTAAAAGGTACTAATTCTTCAGCCCCATGTAAAAATCTTTCAGTTAAAAAATAGCCATGTTACAAATTAGAACTCTCCCAAAAGAGGCGTCTCTTTTCCAATACATGATGTCCCTATACTAGGAGACTTGTTTAAAGAAGGTCTTTCAAAACAACTGTAGTCTTTTGAGAACACAGACCACCGTGTCCAACAACTAACCAAATGAATGGGTTTAGAAAGTGGTAATTTCATGTTGGATTTTATCGTTGAGTTCTACTGGGGATAGAAAAATGCCCATTTCATTTTGAGAGGGACAAAAAAAATCCTCTTTAGGATATGGGAAATTCTTGCATCTGATTCTTCAGTGTAAGTGCCTCATTAGTAAGTTTACCCTCACTTTCTGCATTCAGGTTGGACCATGGAATTGTAAACTTCCTACAGGGAAGTTCATGGTGTTTGGTCTTTTCCCACTAATAAGTCCAAAAGCAAACCCAATTCCAACCCTAAAAGCCTGCCATGACACACTGTTCAAGTTATTTTTAAGCATTATGGAGGCACAGTTTAAATCCTGGGTTAAAATACGTTCCTGAGCTGCTGCTTCTCCACAGTGGATGTTTCAGAGCCATGAGCACTGGCAACCAAAATGTGCAAAACACGAAAGGTAGAGCTTCTTCCACGGGGCAAGCTAACCAGATGGAAGTTGTTAACAACAAGAGCACTGCCAATATAAACTAACACAATGATTATTTGTTTAGTCTAATAAATGCACGGAGCACCACGCAGTTCATGGCAGAGACTACACTGTAATATTCCCAAGTCAGTGCTCTAGAGACATAAGCAAGCCCAGGACATGAAAGAGCACTAAATGGTACATTACACATGCTGGTAATTAGGTAATTATAGCTAGAATTGTTCAGGGAATAAATGGTGCTGGTTTGTGAAGGAATGAGAGAGAGGCTGGCATCACTTATTCATAGGGAACATGTTTCGTGAACAGAGAACAACAATTGCCAAATTGTAATCTTGGGAAGGAAGCACACCCAAGGAAGAGATTAAAAGTGTGGGGGAAACAGGCAGGAACAGGAACCAATTATGAGGGTAGGAGGAGATACCAGCCTGGAAGGGATAACATGCTGTTCTTTGAGATTTTTTACTCTAAGCTCAGAGTGACTTCAAGCCCCGCACTAAGAAATATGAGTGACAGGAACCTAATATATATTAAGGAAGTAAGAAACAAACTAAGCAGAAATCAGGGTTGATACGTAAGTTGAAACAGGCTTGGACAAAAGCTAGCACTAGCAATGGAAAGACAGGAATATGTTTTAGCAATGCAGAGAAAGTAAATCCAAAAGTGTATTTGGGGGTGACTTCTACAGAAAAGAAAGGGTACCTTCAGTTTGGCACAGCTTCTCTAGCAGAATTAATTTAAAATTAGTAGTAGTTCAGTTAAAAGTTTAAACCTACTTCTCTCCCCATCCCAACGTTCTAACCAGTTTGCTTAACACAACCAAAAAGGGAAGCAAGGCTTTGTAGGGTTATGTTGCAATGATGTGATCCAGCTAATTAAGAAAATACACTCCAAAGCCCTAAAAAAAAATGAAGCAAAAAAGTAGGTGGAACTTCAGAGACAGGCTGTGCTGGAGGAAAATAATGAATGATACCCTGGGAGGGAGGATGGTGCCGTTATTGATAGTGACAGAAGACAATGAAATGCTTCAGAGCTAATGAGAATGCACAAGTGTGTGGAATCTGCAGAACTGGAAAGTTAGCAGCCCAAGGGTTTGTCGAGACAGAGAGAAAGAAATTTAATCTAAGGGACTAGAACTGTGCTAAATCCTTGTACAATAATGAAATCAAAGTGACCTGAACTTGATTCAACTTAGTTTCCCTTGGAAGTGAGTTAAGGTAACACCACCTAAGATCTCTAGGCTAGGATTAAAATTTCCATGTTCATGGGTTTGAAAAGTGCCTTTAAACTGATGATTGCTTCTAAAGCTGCACGCAACATGCTATCAGTTTTGAGTTCTTCTTGCTCAATAAAAGTCTGTGAACATGTACACTTGGTTTGTGAGGATTTCTTGGGGAAAGTCAAACCAAACTAACTGAAATTGCAACTGGAAGGTGATTCAATGACGCTACTTTAAATTCACACCTTTGTTAAAGTCTTCTTTGTGTTCCCGAACAGATACATGTGTAACTTGAAACAGTTTAACAAAAAGTATGTTTAGAATGAAGACAATAAAGGGAAATCAGTAATTTTCAGGGGCAATCCCCAAACACACCAGAACACCAACTACTCACATGAGAGAGACAGAAGAGGCAACCGCCTGAGACCCTGAGAGCTAAAGGTGTGTTTTACTCCAATACTGATTCAATCCCTTTTTCTTCACTTTTACCCACCAAGTACGTGCCCTGATGATTCTAATGCTTCTCAATGTCTCCTAACATTCCTAATACCCTTTTGTTTGTTATAAACAGTTTCTATTTGAATTTCCATAATGTATACCTAACTTTAACCAGTCAAAACTGTACGGAAAACTATCATTTAACCTTCTGTGTTACTATCTTTTACACCTGAATTTGAGATACTTGAGCAGGGAAGAGGAAAGGAAAATATTAACCAATGGTTCAGCCCTGCAGTCTTACTCTCACTTCTCTCCAAGTACCACCATTAGTTTGGACACTGGCAATAGATTTCACACGTTGCCCAGCGATATGAAGACAGAAATTCCATTCCCTTTGAAATCCCAGGCCAGCAGCTGAAGTCACTAGCAGAACACCTGGCAGTGAACACTGACTATAAGTGTAGAGATCTCAGTTTTGGTTTATGTTATTCCAGTGGCTTCAAAAAAAAAACACAAGGAGCGGAGCCGTTCCCTTTCAACCAAGCAGAGCACATCAGCTAGCGTTATGTACCTAGTTAAAGACATTTTGCTATTGCCAGTTTCTCATGTTAAGTCCACCGGAAAAAAAAGATGCAAATGCTAAGTTATAATCTTACTATGCTGAATTAAATGGTTACTTACCATAATACTATATAAACAGACCGTAGAACTATAATGGAAACTAGTGTTCCATACATGACCTGGAAGTAAAAACAGAGATAAAATTCAGCAGTTGGATTCGAGAGACTTTATAAAACACTACAGGATTAAAAAAAATTTGAAGCCTCTGTTGATTTTTATTTCTTAGTCTCAGGAAAATAGTATCCCCTCTAACGTCCTCTTCAGAAAGTCTTCTGTAAAAGTTTCAAATAAAAGTATGGTTATAAACCCTGCCCTTTATGCAGTTACAGGAAAAGTCAGTCATGTAAAACCGCTGTTTCACTTTTTTGAATGGGAAAGCAAACGCTAGATGGCACTCAGTCGGCATCCTGAAATCAAAATGGTAACTAACTCCTATCATCTCTTCTGTATCTGTGTATTTTAGCCCAGGATTGCATAAGCATCAGCTAAAACTGTTTTTGAAAGCTATACTTCCTTCACTGATTTAGTATTTTTTCCTGAAAGCAAACACGTGAATAGACTATGCACTATGCCCACACTGAGCACCAGTATAGAAGAAACTTTCCAGGAAGCATTTAAAACCAACTATTAACAGATTGTTGGGATTCAATCTAATTATACAGTGGGAAGGCTGAATGCTCTGAAAAGATCCATGAGCAAAATCTAGCTCACTGTAGGCTTGATGAATTTGAACGCAATCACCTGACTTACATAAAAAGTCAAAGCAACCATTTATTTTCTGCCTCGATCTTTAAACCACTCTTCCTTTTTTTTACTCACAAACTTAGGATCCACATAACACCATCTCCGAGACGCACAGACTAAAGGAGGAGAAGAAATGTGGCGAGCCATGCCTGAAAAGCGATGCCTAAGCCACTGCAGCAGGATTTTCAGACACTGGTGGCACTAAATCACTCTCCGTGCTTTTTATTCTGAACGCTGTTTTCCTCCTGCCAAAAGGCAGTTTGTTCCAAGCAGTTGTGCCTCGCCCTTTGCCTCTCTCCAGTGGCCCACAAGCCCCTTACTGTTTTTTGCTTCCTTGTTCACTGACTTTCCTTTATCATTTTGCTTTTAGTTAAGTCCTATCTAATGCTGCCTTGTTTTACATGAAACAGAAAAAAGATAAACCTTTGCTGCCTGTTCTTAAAAACCACTAAACCTCGCAGAGGTGTGTTTACAAACCAGCGTGCTTACCATGTTCTACTGACCGACTCATACCTCTCCTTATTTTAGACTACACTGTCTTCAAGGCAAGGACTACCTCCTACTCTGCTGTAACCATCCTGCAAGCATATGCATGTGTTTAGCTGTCTGACATAAAACAGATTGCTGTAATAAGGCAAAGTGAAACCTACCTTTCAAAAGTCCATAAAGGCAAATTTTCAAACTCCTTTTAGCTCTGAGGATGAGGTTAGTAGCACACACCACGTTATCAGTGCACGTACGCAGAGCAAGACAGACAACAGAGCCCTTATGTTTGGCAACAGGTAAAAGTAAGCTCCAATATTGACTATGCAAAGCCATTCAGCACAGCAGCTCTTTATTTGCATTCAGAGTGAGATCAAATAGCTGCAGTAACTAAACTACTACTACTGTGTGTTCTGCTCTGTAAAGCTAAACAAAGCAAAACTATTTGAAAGGCTAATTGGTTCTGGCTGGTACTTTATTCAAAACTGTTAGCTAATTCCTGTCCCCTTGCTGTGGTACAGCACATAAATCGGGGGAAAAACCAACAACAAAACAACCCACTAGACACAGCCTGAGTATCAAGTACTTAGCAGTCCCAAGGCAAAGGGGACTGCTCAGATGTGCTAGGTGCTTCATGCTGGTACAGTTCTTCATCACCGATGTTTTGCCTAAGAAGACCCCACCATATAACAAAGGCAGACTAAATTTAAAAGGTAGATGCCATTTTACTTCATCAGTGTCATTTAAAACAGTCTGTTTCATTTTCCTAATCAAATCCAGTCATTTGTTCTAAGAAAGAGATAGCACAGAGGCAGAAACTTATAGAAAGGCTCCTCTGGAACTCAAATCACAGTTTGATGCCCTTCCTTTGCTGATCTCCTCCTTCCTACAATTTCCATTGCTAAAATGCTGTTCTGCAGCAGAGACACAGGAAAAACCTACCCACGAAGAGAAAAGTCTATCGTACTCGTTAGGGCTGTGACAACCTTCACGCTTTCATCCAGTTTGCTCTTGGGTCCTTTGTACATGGAGTTAAATAGTGTCAGACTGTGCCTGGAGAAACATGGCTTACAGGCAGCCCAAAGCCCAGGTAAAACACAGGGTAAAAATGCTATTTTTTTTTGCAGTAGCTGCTAAAAGCAGGAAAGAGCAAAAGCTAAGGAAAGCTTTCTTTGAAGAGCCTCTGGCTTGGTATCTCCTAGTGAGCTGCTTAATGGCTTGCAGAAGAGGACAGTCTTAATGCAGGGAGGGAGAGGAAAAAAAAAAAAAATAAAAAGAACCTTGCAGTGACTGAAGAAAAATATGCCCACAGCTGACACTTCAATTTCTTGCCTTTTCCGCTCCCCCACACGAACAGGTTGTTAGCAGTAAAACACATTCGTGTTTAAAAGCCTGTGAAAAACTGGAACAACAAACTGTTCTGCTCTGCATGCTCCAGTCCTCCTCTTCACACGGAAGCATCGAGGAGGTATTGCTGTGATCTGCAGAGACTGTAGCTGCACGGCTCGCTACAGCTGTTTCTTACTAGAGGTCTATAAACTGAGCTACACAACTTAGTTTATGCTTCAGGAAGCAGCGCTTACTTTTACCCACTTACCACCCAGGGATTTACTATTTCATCATGCTAAAAATTTGTCAGGTACCCAAAGAAGGATAAAGTATAAAATAAATTTTTTAAAAAAAAATCTATCTTATTCAAGCAGACTCACATTTTCAGTTCCTTTAGCTCCCTTTGTTCTTAACTAACACATCACTTGAGTGACAGATGAAAACCCAAGCAAGTTTTGTGCTATTTTGTCTCACAGTGCCTTTAAATTCTAAGTCAAAGAACACCCTTGCACTACAATTGAAACAAAAGGAAACAGCAGAATCTCATCATCTTTTGTTATCACCAGACAGTTGTCTCTTTGCTGTTTAAGATGCAAATAACGCTACATGTATTTCAGCTTTGGAGCCCATATCTTTGCAATGAGGAAAAACCCAAAGTCTTATTAATACACAGTGGATTACCTGCTAAGAAGGCCAAATATGAAGAACAGCCTTCTAATTAACAAGTGGGAAGTAAGCTTTTCAGGGCTCAGTGTTCGTCAGCGTTTTTGATGTGGAGGCAGTTAAGCAAATCATATAGATTCACTGCTTATGCAAGTCGGAGGCAACGTTGGTACCCCACGCTGGAGGGGAGCACACAAAACTGGTTCTTCACCTACCCTTCTAGTACAGAAAGCAGCAATAGCCTGTTATTTCCACTTCTCTCTTTCCTCTGCTCCTGGCCTTCTGCCCATCCTTGGTTAATAAAGTCAATTTATCAGCTTCAAATATTAGTGTACACATTGGGAACCGCACTGAGAGAGCTTGGGTTCTTGGCAACCACTGCTTATCTATTAATATACCATCAGCTGTCAAAAGATAGTTAGCCTAAGTACTTAAAGTTGGAAACTGTGTTTGTAATTTACAACAAAGAAAAAGGACGGCTACATCTTCTTGGATTTCTGTAGAATAAAAATCTGAGCAGAGAGAAAAGAGAAGGACAATCCCCACGATGACACTGAAACACCGAGTAACTCAGCGTAGTTACGGCTGTTTAGTACTACACGCTGCCCTGAAAGCTCCTGAATGAACTAGTTCAGATTCGCTTGGTTTGGTCCTGATGGCAAAGAGACACCCAAGTCACTCTGCTGCTGCATGGCACTGAGCAGCTCTCCAGAGCTCCTGGGACACTGTCTGCAGCCGTAAACTGAGCTTCCCCTCAGCTTCCCCTTCAATGACTTGTAGAGCTGATCCTTTGGAGGGTCTGAACATCCTTCCACACTCCCTAAGCTATTGTGCAGGCAGAATTACTAGCCAGAATGAAAGCTGCACTCACTTTCTGAAAGACATCCCTGACCAAGCTGTGT